TTGATTGACACGTCCTGACTTCTAGAATTAGACAAAAACAGCTGTGCTGGTCTCCTTAAGTAAAAATTGCCATCTCTGATTATTGGAAAATTCAAAATCCATCAAATGTATCAAATAATGAAGATTGCAAGAAAATAAGGCCTATTTCTTCCAGTGAGATGTCATCTTTTATGATTCAAGATAATGTAATAAAAAGCAAATCATTACTCATTATCAGATATGATAATGCCTAAATTGGTCTTCATTGCTGGTCTTGAATCCCATCAAATACATAGAAAGCAATCACTGTCTATCCTTCCATTGGAGACTAGCTCAGTCAACTGTACAGTACAAGAAAGCTACTGTGATGAAGTCTTGATTTATCATTATCCTTTTCTCTACAATTTTTTTTGTAATTTTTTTGTCATTCAGAAAGAGCCAGCATTTGTTCCATTGTGTCAATAAAAGAAGAGAGAAAGAAGACGAAGTCAAAGCAGAAAAAATCCCAGCTATTGTTGCACTAATTTATTTTTTGTTTGCTTCCATGACTATACAGAAACCCAAATTGCTTTTCTCATGAATGCCCGTCATGGCTTGCCCTAGAAGATGGATTTCTCCAAGCACCCTTTCTAAGTTTAATTAAATAACCACAGAGGCCTCCAGAGATTGGTTTCTTCCCCTGCTCATTCAGCTTCATATTGAGACCCACATTGGTCAACCTCTGTTCTTGTACATCTGCTGTGTTAAAAAAAATTTAAAGAAGGAAAGGGGGGGTTGTTTTTTTTTTTTTGTTTTGTTTTCTTTTTTTTAATATGGAAGATAACTAATATAATGTAAACACAGATTATTATTATAACATGCTGTAATTTAGAGTAATTATTTCTATGCAGTGTATGCATTTGATTTGTAGTTATGAGATGGGAAACAAATGAGATACATAGTAAGAAGCTGGAATTAGTAGTCACAGGTGTTTTTGACATGGAGATCACCCAAGATAAGTCTAATCCACTGTCACATTCTTACACCAAAGTCTTCTTTACTGTGCCACTGTGTACAACCATTAGTGAAAGCATTCATCAACCCACACTACATCAAAGAAGTCCTTCAGGGAGGGTGACAATTTATCTGTCTGTAACAAACATTTACTACTGCACACTTTTTTTTTGCCCTACAAACAGTACTTGGAGAAATGCAGTGCAGCCTGCTTACAGCTGCCTGTATAACTGTTATGTCTAATATTTCCCCCTGTCTGTCTATCTCACCAGGTGTAATAATTCACTCTGTCATTCATTCATTATCGTCTTGTTAACCCCTTCTCAATAATGCTCATTGAGTGCATAGAGAGGTAGAACAATGCATAAGGTAAATTGGTTACTCTCTGTAATTTGGTAAAACAAGTTGAAACAGTAATTCTCTTGTCTTATACTTATAATAATGTTTGGATTTTGGAATCACATGTATATGGTCCTCATCCTTACTCATAGAAGCCAACTCTTTCACTTTCTGGGGCCATAGAATTGATCTTCTTCGTGAGCATTATTATTGTAGCGAAACAATCATATGGATCTAAAATGCATTACGGTGACAAGTATTGATGCCTAACTTAGCCTTTTTAAAAATCTTTTTGATCTGAAAATGCTAATCTATAACTTTGTTCACCTTCTGTCTGCCTCTATGTAACCCATGTTCAATCAAGAATAGCCAGGATGAAAATCAATTTGTTTGTGCTTTGTCTGGATTTCTTTTTTGGCTCTCACTTAAGAATAATGTGCACAATTCAAAGACCTTCTGATGGCAATTATGCTGGTTTGTGGAATGCTTTAATTTACTTTTTTCTTGAATATAGAAAGAATGTGTCTTTAGCACTTTTCTTTGGATGAGATGTTTGCATATTGGTATCATTTTCATGAGAATGAGGAAAAAGTCTTCATATGCGTACAAATTTGATGTCTTCAGTTTTTTAGTGTCTCACAAATTTTAAAGTATCTTGCAAGTACAAGACGTCCATAAAGTTTTCACAGTAATGTTCAGGCAGGAACACTTGAGGTGGTTATTGCACCTTTATAGTGATTTTATGATGCAGGGAGTTTCACCAAATGAATTGAGAGAGATCAGTAGTGCCAGGCATAAAAGCTTGATGGATTTTTTCAGAGATAAAATTTCTATTGTCTTGTCATTGATCTAACCATTTTGGTCCTTCTTTTGCAGACTTTATTACCTTGAAATGTTCAACAAATTTTCTGTTGGACATGAAATTGTGATGATCTGCATGTCTTAATTAAAGGGTGATTTGATCAATGGTCTGTTATGGGTGGTAGTGTTGGGTCTTCATCGCCAACACTTTGGTGTGGTGACCTGCTGTGGCAGGATAATAAAAGTCTTAGGAAATCCTAGAAGATTGAAAATGGTTCATTACTGGTAATTTTATTTGCCCAGGGGTCATCCTCTGTCACAGGATCAGGTAGATTTTATTTACCTTGAGTAAATGGTATTGGACCTTATCACTGAGTGGCGGCAAGACCCTGATCAAATTGACTGTCTAATCCCACTCCGAGATTTATTGTATGGATCTGTATGAAATGTTAACGCATTACCAAAATATTGATACATTCAACTTTTGAGAGTAGCCAATAATCAGCCATAAAAAGGCTTATTTACTGGTAAAGCCATACAAATCATGTTTAAATGGCCCTCGTACAGTGTTGTATATTGACACTTTCTTGCTGAGATTGGGTCTACTCATTTGATAAGAGCTAGGACTGAAGATACTTGTTTTGTTAGGTAAGTCACCACTTCAACTCATTTTACTAAGGTGCCCTTATGCTGTTCTTTTCATGTTTTAATTTCATGATTTTGGTAACAGTTTGTTAAATTTTATTTGAATATAAGATTTCCTCAATGTATTGTGTCAGTCTGAGTTGATCTCTATGGTCAATATACATGGAAAGGCTCTTTCATGATTTAGCGTAGTCTTTGGCATAGCTAGGAATTACCAACTTGACATGCATACATTTGGTAATGCAGGAAAACCTAGTAAGTGACAATTGTTGCATTTGAATCATTCTTAGATCTATAAAATCTTTGTTATACATTACATGTATTACCTTTAGAATGTTTCTTTTAATTAAATGTCTTTCTATGGTTTACAGATGAAATGTTTGTTTTGTACATTTTGATATTTGTGTTTTTTCTTCCTAAGGAAAATATATATACAGAATTACTTATTTACTTTAGTCTCCTCTATTCTTGTCTCCTGCCCACCTGATTTACCTCAGGACGTCGGGGAGGAAATGTAATTTGTTGGGAAGCGTTGAGTCAAAGCTCCTGACCAGAAACTTTATCAATACCTTGTTGATTATATTTATTGTTAAAAACTTATGACAAATCACATTCACTGTAAACTTTTTATTATTAAAATTCCTCCCAAAGTCTGTAAGTTTGGTTATTTGCATTATATTTAGGCGTTAAGCCTACCCTGTGTACTGGGTTTTGTAACTGATCAATGACCATCTATTTGCCCATCCAGATCGGTAAATATTTCCCAAAGCTGCGGGTGTAAAAAATCTATTCATGTAATATTTGTTTATTGGGCCATTGAATTTTATTGTTAAAAGCCTCAATTTTGCTTTTGAGCAAATTTTGTTTAAATGGATATAATGTAAAAAAAAAAAAAAAAAAAAATAGAATGAAAGAATTTTATGTTTGCTACATCTTTCAAAAACCTTGTGAGTCGAGTCTGAGATTTGTAATTATTTCACGGAATATGATTAATTTTTTGTGAGTTTTTTTTTTTTTGCAAAGTAAGTAGAGATAATATTGTTTCATGCTTTTGATCATGTTATGGTTGGAAAAGTCAACATGTACATAGTCTCATTCAACAGAAAACTGGATAATTTATAGGAAACTGGGATATAGGGATCAAGTTTTTTTTGTGTTGGCATGTAGGGTATAAGGCTGGATTAATTACTGTAGATTGTATCTGGATGTTACTTGGAGGTCTAGAGAAGTGAAATATTAGAATTAATGACATGTGTATTAAGACTGAACACTCCCCCTTCTTTGTGGATGTCTGTCAGAAGTTTCGTTACTTCAAAGCTAGGATAAAATTTTGATAGCTTGAAGATCATGAAAAACTGATTCACAAGTTCTTCAGAGAGACCCTATTATGCATCCAGTTGTGAATCAATTTTGTAACAATTTATTAATACATTTAAAGTAGTGAAGACAATAAAAGTAAGATATTATACTTATACTCAGTATTTGAATGTTTATTTTAATGTTGGTTTTGTTTTGATTTTGTCTTGCTTTGTTAATACATACATATTGTATGTGGAAAATATTCCTGGGTTATTATGCCATATTAGTTTGTGAGGTCAAAAAAAGTTGTTGTTTTTTTTAAATCATGTTCATTGTATAAAGTTCTGGCATAAAAAAGTGTTATATTCTATCTAGTGTCAACGTAAGATCATGCAGATAAAAAAATCTTAAGTCTGGAGTGTCTGATAACTATAGTCTCCATCTGAACTTTGGGCAAGTCTCCGATTTTATGGACTTTTTGTGTGACATACCAGAGTTTGATCGTAATCCATTGGGAATGATGTCATCTAGGAAACACTTAAGACATGATGATGTAATACTAGCAAAAATATGATGAGCTTTTGATGTAATGCTGGCTACAAAAATGATGAGCTTTTATGATTGATAGGTTATTTATGAAGAAGATTGATGCAGTGCTTGAACTTGACGATGTAAGTGATGTCTATGTAGTGCAAAAACTTGTTTGAGGGGTACATATTTTATTCGGACTGCAAGATGGATAGTCCAATGTAAACATGATAATTCTTCATTAAAATAGATGTGTTAAGTAGATATGCATTTTTTTTAAAGACATAAACACAGAGAAATTTAGACAGGAAGTATACTGCATGATTTCCATGCCAACCGTTCACATGGCCATGTGATGTAGTAGTTATCTGGAGGTGCTGCCTGGGTAATTGAAGCCATTTGTGCATAAGATTATAAGGGGGAGCATGTGGTTGGATGAGAAATTTATACACTGAGTTGCATAGGATATCATTTTTAATGACAATTTCATAAACTGAGGTTGCATACATGTTCCATTTGGACAAGACCGAAACCAAATATGGTGAGTTTGGTTGCTTTTTTTTTTTAATTATGCGATTGATGAGTTTTCTATAGAAATAGTTTAAATTCCTCACTATTTTTATGGAATATAGAAAATTTCTCTCATTACAGCTTTTTAAACTACTTAATGAACAATGATCATTATGTAGTTAAGAGTGTTGACTGAATGATATTTCATTTTTTTTGCAATGTTTTGGGTGTTGGTTAACGTTAATTGTCATTTTTCATGAGAATGAATGGATAAATAATTGCCAGTATTGGTCATAAAACTCTAAGTTTTTTCATGTAATACCATTGGATTCACGTAACCAGTAAATTTTTTTGTGCTCTATATCTGACATTGATTTTTTGGTGGTCTGTGAGGGAATTGTTACGTCTTTAGAAGTGTTTGGTACCAAAGGCTAGAGGTGAAAGTACCTGCGGCTTGTTTTTTTCCCTGGGGGAGGTACAGCCAGAACAGCAGACACTGTGTTACACCTACCAGTCTGTTGTGGTGTGTTTTTTGGTGGAATGCCTGAGTAGCTGTGAGTGATGAGGGAACTCATTGTGGATAGTTTGGCACTGTCCTGGTGAAAGAAGCATTAGTTTTTCCAAGGAGAATATGCACTGGCTAGGTTATAATTGAGGTAACAACATGTGTTTTGAGTCCTTCTTGTTTTATCTTTAAAGTAAACATCATATGTGCTATGATGTTTTATTAATGAACAAGATGCACATGTAGATACAGTTACTTAGGTGCAGTTTTGGTTCTGCAGTGAAACTGTGACCTTGAATATTTCTGGTAAAGCTGGTACATGTTGGGGCATATCAAATGGCACCACCCTAGTGTTAATCTGTTAATTTGCATCAGTTAGGGCTTGTGTTTATCTTTGATCACCCTCCTCCCAAGAAATGACCCAGGTTTTCTATATATACTTCAAGTCAGGTATAAGTAGATTCAAGAGAGTTGTAAGCAGGCTTGATAAAAGTCTGAATATTGCTTCAATTAATTGATTGAGTTATCAGATCATTAACATATATCCATGTTAATGCAGAGAAATCTTAATCTTGATTAAAGCTTGAAGGAATGAATTTGGGACACAGTATTATGCATACAATATGGATTTCCAAGATGATGGTTTGACTTAATATATTATATCAGTTCTGATATAAGAAACCTTCTATATATTACATGTATTCTCCATGTGGTATTAATTAATTTACAGTACTTTGACATGCCAATGATCTTACTAATCAAACTTACCAAGTATTAAGTAACATGGTGCATGCTTCATAAAATCATTAGTATGAAGTCAACGATATGTCATGTCTATAGCAGTGAATGAATTACTATGTCAGCAAGGTGATTCAAGATACCCCAAATTTTCATTTTCTAAGAATTTCTGATCATGCAGTGTTGTTCCTAAGAGACACAGCTCCATAGAAAATCTAAAATGATCTATGAGAAAAATTGCGTAACTTTCTCGGTATACTTGTAAGTGCTAAGCTGTAATTTTATTTGAACTATGGCATTCAGCCTTTATATACATCTTACCTGTCTGTCTAGAGATAGTGCATACAGTTATCTTGTTTACAAGATTTCTGAATAGTCATGCTCATATTTTAGGTATTATTGCATTTTTTTTCTTTTTAAATCAAAGATGTAGGACCAGTTTTTTTTTTTTACTTTCATTCCAATTACTGATGCACATCAAAGCCAGATGGCTCACTTTAAATTAGACTGTTAATAATTTTACACGAATGCTTCAGAAATGGCACCTTGTCATTAAGGTATTTTCACTGCATTATAACCCCATAAAGCTTCCAACACCAAGTCATTTCATCTCAAGGGCTTTAAATTTCCTTCATATAAAATAATTTCTGATGGAATTTTATCAGTTCCATAAAGTGAATTGTTGGAGAGCAATTCAAATTTTTAAAAATCTGTCTCTTACAGTCTGATATTATACTGGGAATCTGTCATTTGGTCGTAAGATCGAGATTATGCTTCCAATTTCAGTGACTTCCTGTCTCTATGGAGTTGCGTCTTACAAGATACAGTGGTTTACAGATTTCTGACATTATCAAGGCTAAATGTAAGTTTTTTTTTCCTTAGTGTGTAATTGGATATAATTTTTTGTGTATCATGTGAGTGGGTTATTTTTTTTACTTATCTATACTACTAGGATTGGTATCTGCACAGATGTTGTAATCTACTTTTAAGACAATCTGTACTAGGCTTCTGTTATTTGTAGTCTGCAAATGCATTGGTAATATGGCAACAATTCCTTAATTTTTTGTCTTGTTGAGTAAATGTATGTGCTGTATAAACAGATGGAATGCCAAGCATATCAGAGAATTAGTATTTACACAAATTAAGACGCACATGCATAAAAAAATAGGCAAATGTGTTTCCACAGCCTTGCTAAGCTCTATGAGATGGTACCAGTCCAATTACTGTGTCTGAGTAGGTTATCTATATAAGCCTAATTTAATCACCTCTGCCTATTACTTACTTATCTACAGTATTGTTATAATAAGATAAATCAGGTTGACAAAGGGTTTCAGTTGAAGGTAATTAATAGAATAGTACCCCCTCCACTCTTGTTGGGGAGTAAAGTTGTGGATTTGTCCCATATCACAGAAAAGACTCATTCAGAAAATTGATTTATGTACAGATAAAGACTTGCTAACAAGTGTGTGAGGTGTACAAAGTTAAATGATGTATTAATTATTCATGGTCAGTTTAATTTGATGGGCCTGCATGGTTGACCATCAACACCAAATTGTCAGGAGCTTGCCACTGACTGATAACAATATAGGGATGACCCTGGTCCAGAGGGAGACTCTAATTTGCATATTTGATGTTTGCCCAGCAGGTTATTTAATTCGTATGACAATAAACAAGAGAGCATGTATCTTCTTTATACAGACTGACAATGTGCCAGATAAGTGGTGACAATCGAGAGAAAAATGTACAATATGAGATACTGACAATTATTGCAATGCCTTAAAAGTCATAATTTAATGGTGATTTGTTAATTTTGATGGACTTTATGGCTAAAACAATGTTCATTTCTTTATTTGTTTCATTCATTTCAGGTTATATTATGACCGAAGACCTAGCGGCTGAGTGTTTTGTAACACTGGAATATTAGGAGACAGGATATTAAAGAGGCTAGCACAGGGATTAATCTGCCTTATCCTACTGGACAAGTTTTATCTGTGAAGGATTTTCTTTTCTTTTTTTTTTTATATTTTTGTGCATATAAAGTACTTTGGCAGAATAAGGATTACTTACTTTGCCAAAAAAAAAATGTGTTGAAAGACAAATAGTGTTCAGAAGAGGATATAACGATGACATCTAGAATGTCACGGGATTTTTTAATTTGTGAGTATCATAGAAATCAATACAATTGATTTGGTTTTAAATTATTGAGCAAGAAAAAAGACACTACTTTGATCAGACAATGTAACATCAGGGCATTTGTTTTAGTTCATTTTATTATGCGTAAATTCAATTATTCATGTACACTGTGATAACTTATAGTACAGGTGTTACATTGGATGAAGTCGCATTTTTCTTACTGAATTTAATTAACAGATTCGTTGAGGAATAATTTTTACATTATTTTGATGTAATGCGGCAAGATTACATGGACCTTGGCAATGCAAATGTGCATCAAGCAAGCATTCATTTTTTGTTGGAATGAGTAAATTAATGAAGGAAAGTTTTCTGATTATATTTTTTCATGGAATTACAGGAAATGAGTTTTACAGATTTTTAGTTTCTATCATTCCCAGATGCTTGAGATGTAACATTTGCATTCTGGAATATTGCATTTACAGTAGGTTTAGTTAATACTTCAATAGCATGTTTATGATGTCCAGGGGCCCTTTTTACGAAAGAACTATATGACTACGTAATATTAAAAACTTAAAGTTGATTGTAAAATCTTGTAAAATTAATTATTCTGTTTAAAATTCCTAGCAGAAAAATGTCTTCATTATTTCTTTACAAAAAGATTCAGATCATTTTCAGATCAATATAAAATAGAAAGTTATCGGCAGAATTAAATTTAGGTCTTAGTCGTAAGTTTTTAGTAAAATGGCCCCCAGAGCACCAAGAAACAAACTGAGATCTTTGAGATGTTCCCTTGGAAATTGTTGTGTTTTTGCTCTTGAGTGATTCAAAATCTTTACCTACCTTATCTACACCACAGTGTAAACACACTCTCTAGCTATTGTTTCACTCCTGAAAAGATGGCTGCTGGAAAATATAGGCAGAAAGAGGTAGAATTCATTTCACGAATTTCTCATTCATTGATTCAGTATGTGATGTTTTTGATGGAAATGAAACAAATTAATTCAGATTTCAGGTGAGAGGTACATTCTCTAAATAAAAAACAAAATATAGTTCACAGAATTCCTTAAATTACAATGGTTGCGATGGCATTGCAACTCATTATTATTGAGTATATGCATATATTGTATAGTCACAGCTCAATTATGTAAGCATCTTATTGGTAAAAAAAAAGAGGTAAAAATCTTAAAAGCAGTTTCAGACTTTGTCAAATTAGTAACAAGTGTAGTGAGAAATTCCTATTGGTGTGGTGCCAAAATTATTACAAGGGAAAGGAGGAAAAATGGTAAAGTCTAGAGGCAGGGAGGCAAAAAATTGTCATTCCAGTCCAATACACTAGAGCTGTAGATTATCAATTGTCTTATTATCCCAGAAAACAATAAACTGCAGGGTGTCAATCTTCTGTGTAATAATGGTAAGGTTGTATATGGTGAGGATATTGCAGTTACTGTGTGTTTCTGAAATGTGATGATTTCTCTTCCATGTCCTCCTAGCATTCCTCTGGATCAGTGTATTGAATTCTGTGAGGAATGGTGTACATTTTAAAAAAAATCTACAAGATATAGTTTAAAAAAGATAGAGCCACATATAATCGGATTGTGTGGTCCTGGTTTTGTGACATTTTAACCCATTGATTGCATGTTTGTAATTTTAATTGAGTATGGGTGGGATTCTGAACAAATTTCAATTAGAGTTATAGGGACTTGTCAAGTTGTAGGCCGGCCGGGGCATGTAATTTGTGCAGAGTTGTGATTTTGGTAAGAGGACTATACTTGGTTTTGTATTGTGAGTAATTAACAGTTAGGAGTACATTATACTAATTAGTGGGGAGTAAGGATAGATAATACAAGGAGTAAGCTGTTAACTGAGCCAGCAGGGGAGGGGTAGGACTGACCTGTGATAATAACACACAACCAGTGTAATCTACTGGACTCCCAGGGGACTAATGCTTAGAAGAAGAAAAAACAAATCCATAGCCATACTGACAAATTCAATGATTTATTTCTAGGAGGAAGCCACCTTTTAAGCTGAGATGAAGGAGCTAATTTCTGTTGTGGTTGGAACTTTAGCTCTCTACATTCCAGTCAGTAAGTATACCTTGCTTATATGGATAAATTTACAAGGCATTTAAAAAAAATGTTTAAAATCATAAGGTGAAATGTGAATCATATTAATGTATGGTGCCCCTTTCTTAATGTCTGTTTATGCAGATGAAAAATGGATAATATATTTTAATGTATTGGTACCCCTATAATGGTATCAGACTAGCTGTTTTCTGAATTATGTTATGCAGATGAAAAATTGATAAAACAGTTTATATGTGTTAAGGATTTAGAGAATTATGTTTGAAGGAAGTATTGAAAGTGTACCATTGCATTTGTTAAAAATCTTGGTTCACAAACGCTGTCTTATAATTGTTCAGAAATTGCATTCACTTTGCCCTGTGTTATCCTGAAGGCCTTTATGTGGGTATATAGAATTCCAGAATTTAAAAATAAAAATCTCCCAATTAAAAACGCTGTTCAGTTATAACAAAGAAGTTCGAATCTTCAAATTGATAATTTTTTTCTTTTATATTTTCTGTTTGATTGGGTGTATAGGCAATTTCAATATATAATTTAGCTGAAGTAAGATTGGTCGAGTACAATAATTTATACCTCATTCAAAAGTGTCAATAATGGCACTGCTAATTGCAAGTTATTAAACTTTGAATTGAATTAGAATTTTGGGGGAATTATAATGCCTCTCTGGTTTTGTGTTACCTTTACACAAATGCTATAAAGGATTGTCCCCCAAAACTGCAAAAAAATAGTCTTAAAATTCTCCTTTCATAGGAGAGTTAATTTTAACCATTTAAAGAAAAAAAAAAAGAATGAATTTTTTGCTTATTCAAATTTACACTGAACCATATCATTTCTAAAAGATTTTGTTTAGTCATTTTTAATTGACAAATTAAAGAAAAAATGTCTTTCCTTCTATTAAAATGTTTCTGTTCTGTACCTTTATTGAGTCTATTTTGTTTTGATTTGCTTTATGAAAAATTTGTAATTATGATATATTTATGTCATAGGTCAATGTGCTCAAGAATTTGAGCAGCGACCAGCAAACAAGAGCATAATACAGGGCCAAAATGTCATGCTGGAGTGTTCTGTCCGCGATCTGGCAGGAGTTCTACAGTGGTCCAAAGGGGGAATCCTGCTCGGTAATTCTTAATTATTCAAACAACTTCACAGTCTTACACTCAGATTTTCAAATGACATTTAATTAAGAAGATGGATTTATTATTTTGCATTACTGATGGTCTCTTGATCTTCATGGGTAATAATAAAGGCTAGCAGGAGTTGAGAGACAGAATTTGTCTGTACATGTGACATATATGAGCATTCTTTTCATATAGTCAGGAAGACATTCAATTACTGTGATAAAGAGCTCAGTATCTTGGTTATCATACTTCTTTAATTAAAACAATATGATGTAGGAGCTAGAGCATAAATATGTTGCTTTGATAGATATTCACTGTTAGTATTAATTAAGTTTATCAAGATACAAAAATCTTATCATATAACAAGAAATACTACAATGTTAACTTAAATGTGCTACTAACTTTTTTCCTCTCTTGTCTACTTTAGACAAACTTGTTGATGTTAACAATTCTATCATTTCTGTGGCTGCATGAGTACACACATTCTAGGTGTATCTTCAAACAGATACATCTTAATGTCCCATCAAATCCACATCTGGGCAGTGTTCACATTCTTTTAACATGCATCATCTGAGTTTTTTCTATAGCAAGAACTAGAATGTGAAGATAATGGCCAATCAGATCTTCAAATTTTGATAATAGCCAATCAGCTCTTTGAATTTTTATATGAACTAGAATCAACTCAGAAATTTAAAAAAAAAACAACTGTTCTCTGTTTTCATCATAGTCTTTGATAAAATATTGTGCATGGGAAGGTTTTTGGGCATTTTTTACTTGCAAAATGTATGAAATTTTTACCAGTAACCTAATTTGGTAATGAAATATCAAAAATGATATTAGATTATCATTATTGCATGTTTAGGGATAATTTTAAATTTTGATGTAAATCTAGCTTTTCTAAATAATTTAGTAGAAGACATCAGAGTGTTGTGTTTGCTTGGACAATTTAACTTACCAGAAATATCTTATACATATCATAAAATTATCAGCTTTAGACCATGCAGATTCAGTATGCTTTTAGTGCATATATATATTTAACCACACTTCAAGAGAGAAAAAAATCATAATATCAGTAGAATTGCATTGTTCTGATGTAACAATGATTTTTGTACAGCAAAAATGCTATCCTTATCCGATTATCTGCCCATGTTTTGGTATGTACATGATACATGTAAATTGTCTTTAACAGCAGGCATGTGTTTTAAGAATAGCAGATTTGTCTGCACATTGTCACAACTAATTGTTGGATGTCATGCATTTTTTCCACAAGTATGACATCTATGTTGCATACTGTGCAGTGAGGAAGGAAGGGAAAAATGAGAAGAATTGTAAGAAGGATGGATCAGGGTTTTTTTCTGTTGGAAGAACATGGTGCAGTGTAGAACTCCTTGTAATGTCTGTTAGTGGAGATGGCGTTAAGATAAGCCTAGCCTAGCTGTGGTATCAGTTTCACCCTATCAGTGTATTGAAATCATATTGTCTTGTCAAATCGGTTTTTCTCAACTCCACAAAAAAATACTTGTTCTGATGAATATGATCTTTAATTGAATTATTGAGACACTGGTATTCATAGGAGATTTTCTCTCAGGAAATGATCATCTAGATTATGAAAATATTGCCATTTAGAAAAGTGTGTAATTTATTTGTTTAAATGTTTAACATGAGCCTCTTTACTCCCACAAACAGGAGACTCCTTGTTTTTCTATATGACCTATAGCACCAAAATAGGATTCATTTAAGATCCTTATCAGGCAAACATTTTACTGCATTTGTGTTTGATGCAGAAATAATTTCTGCATACACTATTTAATTATATTAGATTTTTTGTAATGCCCCACGGATCGAAAGATCCCGGGGGTATATTGTTTTTGTCTTGTCTGTCTGTTTGTCTGTCTGTCTGTTGTCAACTTTAACCTAGCCCATAACTATTGCGCTGTCAAGGGTAAGGCTTTAATATTTGACATGAGTGTTCATTATGACAAGACCTTTCCATTGGTACAGAAATTTTTTATCATGTGACCTCAACTGTGACCTTTGACCTACATTTGAAAAACTTTAACATTGGTCATAACTATTGCACTGTAGTCTGCGTCCCACTCCAGAATTGTGTTACCATCAGGGGCATAGTGTTTCACAAACACATCTTGTTTTTGTTTTTTTGTTTTTTTTTTTTTGTTTTCTGTGTGGCTATAATAACACCCAAATAGGATTCCAGATTTATTAAGATTCCCTGCATGTCTGAATGCCAGGCAGTCAAACAGAAGTTCTCTGCATTTGCATTTGATGCAGATATAATTTCTGCATACACTATTAATTAAGATATTAGATTTGTATTTGTTTATGAAGACTTGACAAAAACTATGAAGAAGTGATGAGTCTATAATGAGAGACAGGAACTCCACTGGCGTAATGTGCTGGCACAGTCTCAGAAATTGTACAGCATCCAGGTTAACCATTCTCACAATGTCACTATTGTCTGGGTGTATCAACATCTCAAATCAGCAGGGGTCTACTACACAAAAACCATAGTGTACAGTTTTAAAGCAACATAGGGGTTAGGTATAAATTTTACATTAGATAATTTCAAAAGGGTGCAGTGGATAGCAGGTATCCCATAACTGCATACATGTTAAACCAAACATATATACTAGAGCAATATATGTATAAAATATAAAAGTTATCTTGTAGTGATAAGGAAGAAATCAAATATGCTGATTTAGAAAATAATATTTGGCATACATGATATAAAGCAGCCTTCAATCTCCCCAACCCAACTAACCCAAACCACTGTTCATCCACTCATGTACCTCTTAAATTGGTTCAAGTGTCATTATATTATTGGTCATGTAGCTGTCATGCTTTGATAGCTAGCTGACTTAATTTTCATAAAATTCATAATTTAGGTAGTGTTTTATATGAAATCATATTGCACATTCAATTTTTTTCATAACTATTGTTGCACTCCTTATTGGAATGTGGATCCAGCAAACACCATGATACAGAGATAATTTGGCTGTCTGGATGATCTTAGACTTGACAGAAATCATTATTTTTCATTGTTCCTTTCTTGCCTTTAGAAGTAAATCAGACACAATTACTAGCTACTCAGTCAGGGGCTCGCCATAAATTCTTATTTTACTTCTGGGGAAGTGCAAGAAAACCATTGTCTCTGACAGTGGCTGCTGGTTCTGACTTCTGGTCATCTCCACCGATTATTGTTGCTATACAGTGGTAAGCATTGTTTGTGGGTGGTTACATTGAACTCATTGATGGAGGTCAATGCATTAGGAGGAAAGACTCGATCTCCCAATTTCTGGCAGTACATTGTGTTTTGGCAACTGGTCTGCAAAAATTGGCACCAGACTTGGTCTTTGCATGAAAAGAAGTGAATATGTTGGAGTGATTTGGGGTTTTCCATTGACACTTTTGTTGGTTGATTGTGCATGTTAGGTGTTTGATAAGAAACAAGCAAAGGTTATATATTGCATTTAGCTGTAGTTTTCTTACCATAACATCATGGCACAAAATCATGTAACACTAGAAGATTGGTAGGTTTACTTATGTCTTTAGACAGGAACTAATGAAGGCAAGATGAAGGACAATTTATTTATTTTAAGAAAATGTTTTCACTAAATAAATCTGTTCCAGTAGAAATAAATGAAAAGCCTGGAGCTTGACAAGGAGTCTGCCTGAGTAATGAGTTGTCAGAGAAATAGGTTCAGAACACCCCCCATATTTTAATGTACATGGCAGTGTTTTGTAGATGTCTTAAAACAGCTCAGATATTGTAGACACATTTATTATAGGTACAATTCTAAACATAGAAGCTTGAGTCTCAAAAAACCCCACTGTTTTGTTTGCAATTTTTAAGCTTTTAGAATAATTTTTGTCAGTATTATAAATATATAGATATTTCTTTCCAAGTTAGATTTCTCTGTGATTTTGAATACAGATAAAACAAGAGATTTGACAGGAAATGATGCAAGTAACAAAGCATAAATGTCAAGATTTGGAAAGATTTACATGCAGTCATTATTTGTATACAAGATGAATGGAATCTATCTGTAGAAGAGATTGAATTCCATTCATTTAACAATTTTTCATTCAAAGTGGGTAATTCATTAATTGTTTTTATGTTGGAACTGATGCAATCTTTGAAGAAGAATTTCATGCCCAAATCAAAAATAAACGTCTGAATTTTTATTCAGCAAAACTGCAGCAAACTAATGAAATAAAGTGAGATTACTATTTTTTCATAACAGGTTTGGACCCCAGCCTCCCTGGTTTTTCAAGATACTCCATTGTTAGAAATACTCCTTCACAGTACAACTTGCTAATAGAAAACACTAAACTTGTGGACGATTCATACTATGAGTGTCAGGTATCCCCTGAAACTGACAATCCAGCACTCAAAGCTAGGGCCTACCTCACAGTGCAAGGTAAATTATTACACATCCTAAACCAGCTTGTGTATTTAGTCAGTACATTCAGCACTAGCTTTTATCTATAAAATAAAACTATATTTTGTTAAAATTTAATTTTTACCTTGACTAGTTCCACCAGAGCAACCAGAAATTCTGGGATATGCCAATGCCAGTACTATTGCCCTTAGCCCAGATGAAAATCAGCTGACTATGACTTGTGAAGTACGCAGGGGACACCCAGCAGCCACTATAGAGTGGTACCGCAACGGTAACTTGGTGACAGAAAATGTTCGCACTTCCAATGAGCCGGTGTCTGGAGGGAGTAAACTGATGACTGCTAGGAGTATAATAACAATTACCAACATTGCAGACCATCACAACTCTATTTATATGTGTAGGGCCAAGCATGATGCTCTGAATAAAAATTGGATGCAGACATTTGTCAAACTAAACGTATTATGTAAGTCTTTGAAAGTCATGCATGTAGCTAGTCAGTTTAATTGATTTTAAAATGTGAATTAAAATTAAATACTTAGAGTGAATAATTAATGACACACTGTCTTGAAATTTACTTCAGCTCCCCCTGGTGTCCCAGAAATCACTGGCTATTCATCTGGTCAGGTGATCCGAGAGGGTGACACCCTGAGGTTGCTCTGCGTGTCAAAGGGAGGTAACCCTCTACCTCAGGTGAAGTGGTTCAGAAATAATGTGGAGGTGGACATTTCTCACACCACAGACCCTGCCCAGTCTATGAATGAGTACCTGTTTTCAGTCAGAAGGGAGGACAATGGGGCTGTTTATAGATGTGAGGCCTCCAACACTGCTACCAGTGCTCCTCTTACTGCGGAGGTTACCCTCAATGTCTACTGTAAGTTTATGTTGGCAATGTCAGAACTGTGTGTCTCCAGACAAAAACAGTAAATATCACTTTCAAATAATTTATTTTGCATGAGAAGAAAGTGTTTTCTTACTCTAAATCACAAGGGAGCATTTTTTTTTAGGTTGTACAGTTTTTATTTGAATACAGTACAATTCGTTTTTTATCATACCGGTTTTATATCATACTTCTTTTTTTATCATAGATATCTGAAACACAAAACCATTTCTTAATAATTCATTATAAATTTTGTTTGTTATTATCATAGGTAAAAGTATACACTTCGCTTACTATAATAGAAAATGTCCGTCCGTAATATTTTTTTCACACCTTTTCACTCTTGGGACAATCAACAAAACAAAAGATAACACCTACAGTCCCTGAAACGTTCTACTTTCCCACTTGAACGGAGAGCGAACGCTGAACGAACGCTGAACGAACGCAGAGCGAACGGTGAGTGAACGATGTGTGAACGCTGAACGCAACTTGGTGAACGATGTGTGAACGGTGAACGGTGAGTGAACGCTGAACGCGAACGGAGCGCAAACGCGAACGCAAAGTGAACGGTGGACGAACGGTGAACGCAAGATGAACGATATATTCGGAATGCCTCTGATATTTTCCTTGCATTGAAACTATTTTATTGTATTATATTTTCAGGTGCCAAATAAATAAATAAATAAATAAATAAATAAATAAATAAATAAATAATAGATAAGTAAACCAATAAATGAATGAATATTTAAGTCAATAAAATAAATTCTCCAAAATTGTCCTAAGAAAGACGATGCATGCACATAAAGTATTTAATCACACGATTTTTATCGCATTAAAACATTGCAATTGTATCGAACGCTGAAGTATAAAAGATATTTTTTTAGTTGGAAAATAAAAATGTTTATTCTTATTTAATAACAAATCAGAGAAAACGTCTGACTTATAGAATGAATTAAAGCGGTTGTAACATCCATTCATATATCTCCGTGTCAAGGCGATTTCGTGTAAATTAATGAAAAAAAAAATTACAAAGGTCAGTGGACGTTTTGCATTTATACGCTCGTATTTTAAATTTTTAATATAATGATATGTGTCATTTCTATTTTTCATGATGATTTATTGAGCAGACTTCTACATGTATATGCAGATGGCCGTGGTTATACTCGGACAAGATAATACAAAGATACATATTCATATTATTTGTTATAAATTCAATTTTCAGAACTTGATATTTAAGTAATATGCTGTTATACTTTTTATTAAACAGACAAACGAGAGAGAGAGAGAGAGAGAGAGAGAGAGAGAGAGAGAGAGAGAGAGATTCCGTTTTAGCCCCCCCCCCCTCCTATCAGACAGTGAAAGTAACTTTTTTTAATCAACAAATTATATCCATTTGTTTGACAGTCATACTCGTTTTTATGTTCCTGCTTCGATTTCACACGAAGTCCACGTGCTTGTCCTGTCAATCAAAATCATTCGACACTGTGCAGGTGTGAAAGTTTCGTCACATCGAAGACAGAGTGCGAGTATTTCCAACAAGTTATAACATTTATTTTTATCATTTCTAGATTTGATTCCAACATTTGAATAATAAATGAATAAAATACATTGGGCATTTACACTTGAATTTGATACATACTCTCTGCCAATTTCAAATACCACCGCCGACACGTGTACATTTTGAACTACAGTAACTATTGTTTTGTGACATTTTTAGATGCATGTTTGTTTTGAGACTGAAATTTTTGTTCTAAAAAAGACCTTAACTTTCTTTAAAAAATGTTAATTAAAATATTCTGGAAATGCAGTACTGACTAAGTAACCGATTTAGGGGGAAGGGGGGGGGGAGGGGTATTAATCATATCGAATGGCAAACATATAAAGTTACGGTGAAGAGAGAATTTTTTTCTCTATAACTATAGACTTTACATATTATAGTAGAGAAAATTCTGTAGTGCAGTACATTTTAAATAAATATTTCCTTTAACCACACTATCAATTGAATTCGCTCCAAAGATAATAAACAGGACATCCGCAGTACTATGTATAACTCTCAGAACTAGTTCTATCATATTTTCTGCAGTAATTAAAAAAACGTGTTAGAAATAAATATTTTCGTAATTTTGCTGCGTAATTATTTGACTTGGATTATTATATCACCATTAACGATTTGTCGTCTTTAACAAAACAACAAAATGTTGCAGTGATTGAAGTATTTGCACATTGCCCTTAGTTAAATTTAATATTTCAGCATCGTTCTACATAGGTACAGAATGTGTTTATAACAACAATTATTTTCCAGTAATTTAATAAATAACCTAACAGCTAAGTTAGAATAATAAAAATATATATATCGTAGATATTTTTCCCCATGAAATAATGATTCTTCAAACACGATATGTTAGTTATTAAATTAAAAAACCTGTAACTCCTTCCCTACAAAAAGATAAGTCCTTTCACTTCGGAGTTCCGAATGACAATGAAAACTGAACGATAGGTGAACGCTGAACGCAAGGTGAACGCAAAGTGAACGGAACGAAGAGCGAACGCTGAACGCTTTGTGAACGGTGAACGCGAGCGCACGGTGAACGGTGAACGCAAAACTGTGAACGGAGAGCGAACGGTGAACGCACGGTGAACGAACGGTGAACGCACGCTGAACGAACGGTGAGCGAACGGAAAAATGGGAAAGTAGAACGTTTCAGGGACTGTATCTACACTTGTGGTTCATGCACTGTTGCTTGTCTATACACAGTGGCTTGATTTTCACTTTGAAATTTGCCGATAGTGAAAGACTGGGGAGAGTAGTCACACTTCAGTGCACTTACCTGAGCGATTGACAGGGAGTCTGTTTATTTCATGAAGTACATGACAGGATAACACGAACTCTTTTTTTTTTTTCATAACTTATTTTCTTCTTATGTTAATCCTGAATTGTACGTTCGTAATAAATACGTTTTACCAAATGTGTTGAAACTAAAATTAGTGTCAATATTAACCCAAGCTTTCTTACACTTGGTGTCTGGATCAGTGTTCATTGTTAATATCATTTACAAAACTACCCGATTAATTAAGAAATGATTAAGTGAAATTAACTCTTTCACCAGTCTGTCCAAGCGGCTTTGAATGCATATGCTCATCAGCCTATCGATTTTAATTATACGGCGACATTACCCATACCGAAATAAATTATAACTTAGTTATAACTTTTGTAACTAAAAAAAGGTACAAAAAAGTTATAACTAAGTTATCGGAGTTTGGAACCGCCTGTTTTAAGTGAGGTATAATTTAGTTATAACTTAGTTACAAAAAAGTTATAACTTTTGTATAAGTTTTCATTTTTTATTTCAACATAAATACAGCAAGTGCAAAAAGTTACAAAAAAGTTATAACTACAAAAAGTTATACTTATTAAAAGTTACACAAAAAGTTATAAAAAAGTTACAAAGTTATACCCAAATAAACGGTGGAAAAAGTTACAAAAAAGTTATACGCGGAAAAAGTTATTTAAAAAGTTATAAAAAAGTTATACTTAATAAAAAGTTATGAAAAAGTTATAACTAAAAAAAGTTATACCCATGAAAAGTAATAACTTTAAAGATTATGAAAAAGTTACAGAAAAGTTATAACTATGAAAAAGTTATGAAAAAGTTACAGAAAAGTTATACCTAAAAAAAAGTTATAACTACAAAAAGTTATACCTAATAAAAGTTATACCTAATAAAAGTTACAATAATATTATACACTTCATGTTAACCTGTGGTGGAATTACTCAATTATAGGCTTTAAAAAAGCTACTCATTAAAATTTTTACAAAAAGATTAAAATTTTTACAAAAAAGATTATTTAAAAAAAAATTAAAAGCACTTACAATTTTATTTTATAAACATGATTAAGAGAGCTTGGTTCATTGTCAAATACAATTGAATGAATGCACATTCATGTTTTCAAGTCTACCTTATTTTTCATCAAGCCATCATAACAGATTGAAATTTCTCAGAATGGTTGTTTTCTTAAAATACATTATTTTAGCATATAGTCATAAGAGTTTTTGTAAAATTACCTAGTAAACTGCATTCTACTCTTGTGAACTTTTATAAATAGGCATCACTGCCTAGATTTTAACTCTCTAGTTTTTCATGTTAGCGCCATGATCTAGCTGTACTTCAAAAAAAAAAAGAAGGTTCTAAGCAGTGATTTCGGTCACAGTTCTTAGCTGCATACCACCCAAGTCCTTGCACAGGTATCCTTGTGGATGTACAGTTGTGATTTTTATCTGGATTATTTAAAGACGGAATGCACCAGTAGTCGGCCGAGCTGGTCGAGGGACTTGGCCGTCCGGCCAGCGGTCTGCGCCCCTTGACAGGTTGTACTGGTAGTAGGCTGAAGTGGTCATGGGACTTGGCCAGCCAGTAGTATGTCCCCCTCGACAGGCTGCACTGGTATTTGGCCGAGCTGGTCGAGGGACTTGGCCGGCCGGCAGATGGTCTGCGCCCCTCAATGGCCTGCACTGGTAGTCGTCCGAGTCTTCATTTGAAATATGCTTGCAATTTCAACCTTCTCTTCATTTTTCTTCAATTCTGCAAAAATTAAAAAGGTTCAAACTTTAAATATTTTAATTTTTTCTTTTAAAAAAACGTTGAAGTGTTTCCTGCACTCAAAGCATATCAGATTGGAACCACTCTTTAATATCAATTCATTCAAATTCAAGGCATATGCATCTATAACTTGGAAAACAAGAATTAGAGTTCTGTTGTGTAATTGAGAAAATTCAACCTCAAGGCTCATCACATAAACATGCATTAAAAAAAATTTTAAACATAAAGAACAATATAGAACCTGACAGCTTTATAGGAATTAGCTTTAGATTTATCGAATTTGAAATAAAAATAAGATTTGATTATTTACTTACCTAAAACAGGTGATATTTTTGAAGGATTTCACTCCAGCTTGGCACAGACATAAGATGCTCATGGAAAGAAATAATGTACCAGTATACTGCTGAAATTAAATAAAAATTAGAAATTTTATTTTACTCATTTCAGTACACTATATCATGTTATGATCATGTGGTGTTTAAAGGCTACAATATGTACAATATTAAAACAGTTCAGAGATTCTGAATCTGTAAAACAATTACACAATATAGGTCATTTAATAATTAAACTGATCTATAGGAATATTTAAAGAATTGAATATGACAAAGAATAACATTTTCTGTTCCTATACTAAATGCTGAAAAAATATTATGTTTCAATTTCTTCACTTCAGTCTTTGTCATTGACATACCAATCAAAACAAACAAGAAATCTGAGATTCACATGCCTAGAATTTTGTTCATTCTACATATTTCTTCTTTTTTGAATGCCCATCTAGAGGTAATAAACACTTCCTACCAAAAACATCAAAATATTAACATAAATATTGCCTTACCGAATGATTTTGTCATCGTTTTTCTATCAACACTTTCAACACACCAACATTCAAATCGTCCATGAAAAAATCCGCGCTCTGTTGTTGACCAATCAGAGACTTAGAATAAGTCACGTGATTGAAAATAAATAAATAAATAAGTCATGATTAATTTATTTTAAATCCAAATAAACATAATTGTGTATTTTGAAACTTATCTTAAATATTAAAAAGCCAGTTGGTGTTAAAATTTTGAAACAGAGTTCCAACAAAACGGACAAAACGGACGTCGAGGCCGCCATATTTGTGTCGTTGCCGCCATTTTGAATTTAATATTTTATTTATTTATGAAAATAACTAGTAAAACTGGGTTATTTAATCAGGCAAATAATAAAATCCACATGTCCTAGTCTTCTGCTAAAATCTTAATATAACTGGCAGTCTTTATTCCCAACATCGTAATATCTGTTAATAAATGAACATACACACACTGTATGTTGTTATTTATCTTTCTAGCCACCCTTATTACGATTGATTTACTTTAGATTTCAAACAACCCTTGTAAAATTGTACCATTGCGTAATACACAAGCTGAAATTTACGAAGTGTAGGCCAAAAAGGTCATCTAGTACGAACACCTGTGTCACGAGAAAACAATGGGGAAATTAACACTGTTTTGCACACGAAGAAAAATCTGTGCAAAATATTAAATGACTTCATGAGATTATAACATTTGACCACTGTTTATATCTCTTGAACATTTATATTTCTCCAGAATTAGGGAAATTATTCCACCTTAAGATGTACATGCATATAATTTACAAAACATGAAATCTATATAATACGTATTTTCTGAGAGAGAGAGAAAGAGAGAGAGAGAGAGAGATTATTCCCAACTTTAGATGAAACTAGTACTTACAAGACAAATATTAATTAAACAACAATATTTATTAATGAGAGAGAGAGAGATTTAGAGAGAGATTTATTCCCAACTTCAGATGTAATTTACTACAAGTCTCAACTTCACATCTCTTCTGTTGAACTTAACAGTGGATGTGGCTGTGGACTGCAATGGATGAGTAAAACATTGGTAGTAAAGATGTCTAAGAAGCCCCCCTTTTTCTTTAAAAAAAAAAAAAAATCTCAACTCACAACAAAACAGAAAAATAATTGTCTGCGTAAGTAATAGCAGTATATAATGCAATTCATTATATGAATAATTTTTAGATAAAGAAAATTCAGCATATAAACAGTGGTACCTTTATGTAGCCCTTAATCATCCCCACCTTTTTATTCATATAATCCTCTGTAGATATTACAGGTATGTAAAACTGTATTACTATACTAATATAATTATGCTTATTTATTATTTTATATGATTAAATTTCAACAGTTATATAAAAAAAAATTAATTTAGGTGTATGGTAAAAAAAAAAAAAAAAAAAAAAAAAAAAAGAATATTCAGTTTAACTAAGTAGCCATTCTGCAAAATGACTAAGTCCAAATTAGGTACAAAAAAGTTACACAGAAAAATGACAAAGTCCTGAAAAGTTATGTTTTAGTTACATCTGAAAATGGCTAAGTCCAAAAAGGTACAAAAAAGTTATACAGTAAAATGACAAAGTCCAGAAAAGTTATCTTTTAGTTACACCAGAAAATGGCTAAGTTCAAAAAGGTACAAAAAAGTTATACAGTAAAATGACAAAGTCCAGAAAAGTTATATTTTAGTTACATCTAAAAATGGCTAAGTCCATTTTAGGTACAGAAAAGTTATAACTAAAATGTAACTTTTTCTTGAGGTACAAAAAAGTTACAGAAAAGTTATAACTTAGTTATAACTTATTTCGGTATGGGTAAGTGTAAATAGGTAATTTTTTATGTCTACTTTGGATGAATAAAAAAAACAATTTGAATGCATGCTGTGTTAATTTATTTAATATGTGACCAAAAACAAAAAAACAAAAACAAAAACAAAACAAAACCGAGACGAAACGAAACATTGGTAATTTGAATTGGCCATAAATTAAAAATGAAAGTAGATCAAAATAAACAAGATGGATGCCAAGGGATCTAGAAGATTGAGTTTGAAGCGTATTAAGCTTTATTTAAGTGAATTTATTTATAATAAAAAGTGGAAACAGTAAGTAAATATTGTGAAATGATATGTCAGTTAACTTGTATTCCAAATAAACCTAAAAAATCAAAATTATATGTAACGTAAGATGTATATTACATCCAATAATTTACACAAACGTTGTATCGTCAGCCGTCCGACATGAATTTCAGCCGACTATGGTTATTATAAAAGTCGCTTATTATAAAGTTTTGGCCTGACAAATAAACTATGATTATAAACGAATTGTACTGTATTAGCATTATCTTGGATTAATAGCATCATTTTTTTTAATACAAGCAAATGGAGAACCGCTTTTTACATAGAAATTAAAGTTTCCTTCTTTTTCTGATAGTCCCTCCTCAGACTGCCACAATAACAGGTGGAGGTTCCCCAGTAAAGGCTGGACAACAAGTAACCTTGACCTGTCAATCCTCCCTTAGTAATCCCAAGGCCGTCATTACCTGGTATAGCAGGGGAAAAATCATCACAGCGAACAGTGACCCTACATACACCCCTGGCAGTAATGGAGGATTCACCTCAAGGTCATCTGTCACAGTGACCATGTCTGAGCAAGAGAATAATGCTATGTACATCTGTAATGCTGTTAGTGACAATAGAGCACCTGTAGCCACAGCCAATGTCACGCTCAGTGTACTTTGTAAGTATGTCTGTCTTTGATAAAAGGGCACCTGTAGCCATAGCCAATGTCACCCTTAGTGTACTGTGTAAGTATGTCTGTCTGTGATAATAGGGCATCTGTAGCCACAGCCAATGTCATCCTCAGTGTACTGTGTAAATATGGCTGTCTGTGATATGAGGGCACCTGTAGCCACAACCACAGGGATCGACATTAACGGTTGTCCGATTGCCGAGGACAAGTAAATTCTCAGTTCGAGCAAGTGAAACTTTAGACGTACTTGTCCGATCGGGCAAGTGAGTTTTTCTTATAGAAATGTACATATTTATTTAGTTTACATTAATTTATGAATAAAACAATAAATTGAACATTTGATTTCCACAGGAACCTGACTGACATTGATTTGCATTCGGAATTCCTTGGTGGCATTTCTAGATTATACAGTTCATTCAAAATCGGGTTCTTTATTCTGTTTTCTTTCATGGTAAATAAGCTCTACATCTTACAACTTTGTTAACTTCTTACTAGGAAATTAAATTATTTATTCAGTCACAGAATATAAGTGACATATTAGTATCCTGATCAAGATAGGTATATATCGTAGCAGCTATCTTCCACTAGCATTGCTTCACTGTTATCTCTGAAAATCACAACTCACAAAAGGATTCTACCGAAAATAATTTTTAAAATATGAATTTTATTAAAAGGAAATGGAGGATTATTGCTGTATGGCAGTGTGTGTTAGCAGATTAAACTGACAAGGACAGTGACACACATTTATGTAAAACGCTGCATCAATTTTTTTTTTTCTAATGTAGCTCAACTTTCCAAGTTGACAGTGTATTTGGTCTGGTCTTTTTCTATCATAACATTTACAGTAATGAATAATATTCTTCTTCCCTAATTTTGGGCAACCAAGAAGGGCAAGTGAATCTAAAATTTAATGTCTATCCCTGAACCAATGTCACCCTTTGTGTACTGTGTAAGTATGTCTGTCTGTCTGTGATAATAGAGCATCTGTAGCCAGAGCCAATGTCAGTCACCCTCAGTGTACTGTGTAAGTATGTCTGTCTGTCTGTGATAATCAGGCACCTGTAGCCACAGCCAATGTCACCCTCAGTGTACTGTGTAAGTATGTCTGTCTGTGTGATAATAGGGCATGTTTAGCCACAGCCAATGTCACCCTTATCATAGTTTGTAAGTACATGTTTGTCTGTGATAAAAGGGCACCTTTATGTATGTCACCAAGAAGTTCACAATATGGAATATCAACTGAATATAACAAATTATTGAATGTCGATCTGTGTATTGAAATCTTTAAAAAGTTTACAAAACTTTAAACATGCAAGAATCAACTGTGGATTGATTAGTTAGGAATACCTGAAAAAGAGGAGGGCATAATTTTCATAAAATTGATTAAAGCAGACACCTGAGGTATCAGGTCTGTATTATGGTTTCAGAATTGATCCACTTGGTTACAAAACAATGGAAGATATTAAATTCCTGTAAGATTAATGAGAGTGTGAGGGTATCAGTACAGAAGCTTAGATTAGGGTTCAGTAGGCTTTTACTGAAGTGTTTTGATAAAAACTAAATTCCTGTAGAAATTTTAGGAAAGATTTGCTTAAGAACTATGGAGCAATCCTCATTTTCACATTTTAATTCCCTATATATTATTTTATAGTTACATTTCTCATCCTTGCCACTGTTTCTGAATAATTTACTAAAACAAATATGAGATTTCTTGTAAAGGAAAGATGTTATATTTAATTATTTTTAATGGAATAAATTGATGATAATTAGTAGAATATTTCATTGGCTGGTTCCTGTTACTGGATATTATTTAAACATTTCACAGATGTCGTCCTGGTCATATCAATGTTCTATTCTTTTCTTTGATTATTGTCTAGACAAAATTACTTTTTATATGTGTCATTACATCTGTAAGTAAATGCTTTAAAGATATGCACATTTATATGAAAAAAAAAACCCCACAAATCTCACTAGAGTTGATTATATTACACTTGACTTTGCAGACCCCCCAGGTGCTCCTACTATAGAGGGTTACAGTGAGAGTGACCATGTGGTGGCAGGGAAGGCAGCCAGAATGACCTGTAAATCTGTTGGAGGAAATCCCACAGCTACACTCAAGTGGTTCAAAGGTAAGGAAACAGCTTAAAAAAAGAAATAGTCTGATATAAACTTGTGAAACTCCTCCTAGCAACAGGCATTTCATGCACCCATACATACATCACCGGTTTCCATGTCCCCGCAAACCTTTATTAAAGGAAAAGGAAATATATATCCTATAAAATATCCTGGAAAATGATGCCACTGTCTAAAAGAAAACAATTTTAAATTAAAAAAGAAGGGGGGGGGGGGGGGATTAGAAATGTCATGTACTCGTAATAAAATGAATTGTTATTACTATTGTGTAGGAGATTTTGAGTTTGAAATTTTAATATATATCTTTCCTTCAGCACCTTATCACGGGGTATTGGAATTGTGTAAATATTCATTTGTCTTCAGCCATTAAGCAAAAAATTATTCACTGTCTCGTATATTGGTGGCATAATAAAGAATGCTTAAGTGGTGAAAATATACACCAATAGATGATTTCCTGCATACAGCATACTCAAGCCTCTGTAAACTGGACACCAAAAATCGGAACGCTTCAACTTCGGAATGAAATCTGAGGAACAAAATTTATATTTACCAATTATAAAAGATGTGTTTCAGTAATCCAGATGCCTCGTTAATCCGGACGATTAGCACTGGAACACAAAAGTCCAGGAGCCCGTTTTACAATTGAACTTACGTCTAAGACCCAAAACTTTAGTTGATTGTAAAGTTTTATTTTGCAAAATTAATTATTCTTTTTAAAATTCCTAGAAAAAAAATATCTATCTAAATTCTTTTTGAAAAGATGAAAACCATATTCAAATTCATGTAAAATAGAAAGTAATTAGCAGAATTAGATTTTGGTCTTAGTTGTAAGTTCTTTTGTAAAATGGACCCCCGATTAAGAGGGCTCCACTATATGTGGACTGAATTGTCTATCTTTGTAGGTAACCAGCCCCTTGTGTCAGTGTCTAGTACCAGTGGTAACATGGTGACTTCAGAATTGCCCTTCCTGCCCACTCCTGGGGACAACAATGCTATCTACAAATGTGAGGCCTCTAACTCAGCCACCAGTTCTCCACTGACAGCTCTAGTCAAACTCACCGTCTACTGTAAGCATAGCATTCAAATAAAGTTAAAACAAGATTTTTAGTGTAATAATATTGCCAGACTTAGTCATTTCCTAAAATCTTGTTTGTTCACTTTTACATCAAATGAATACTGTGCTTAATTGCTTGAAAATATCATTTCTTCTACAGTTGCTCCAGAGGGAGTGAATGTTTCTATGTCCCCCTCCCAGCCAGTGTCAGGACAACCCCTGCGTCTCTCCTGTGTATCTGAATCCAGTAACCCTCCAGCTACCATTGTCTGGATCAAGAACCATGATCAAAGGTATGTATATTGTACCAGGGTATACAGTATTCCATCTCCAAATTAATATTGTCATTTCTTTTAAATTCTGAAAAGTGTGTTTCAAACTTGTCACATGCATAAAATAAATGCAAACTTTTCCTATAAAATCAGTTTTACTAAAAAAGTGAAATAAAACCATATAAATTTCCTCAAAAACTAAAATGATTTTACACAATTGTAAAATTAAGTCTTGACACATGATGGAAAGGAAAAGTACTGGTAATTAAGCTTTGACTTTGATCTCTTTTACCTGAATTGTAGTAGGGAGTTGCGTGGAGTCACAGAAGGGACGGTGCCAGCATCCAATGGTGGTTCCAGCACCACAAATTACCTAAACATCAGGCCCTCTGCAAATGATCACAATGCCACTTACTACTGTAAGGCCAAGAATGAATATATCAACAAATCTGTCAGTGATGGACTACGGATCAGCATTCAGTGTAAGTGTTCTAGAAAACTTTTAAAAGTAGATTTAACTATGAAGATTCTGCTGTGACTTAAGTTCTGTGTTACAATATCTATAGTTTTCTTACCGGTAAATTTCTGTCTACAGTTGGTCCAGTTTTCCAACCCTCTGTCTCTCTGATTGAAATGATTGAGGGAGAATCAAAGACAGTTGATATGAAGGCTGTGGCTAACCCAACCTCCATCACCTATACTCTGTATAAAGGAGGGCAGCAATCCAGCAGCTTCACCCCAAACAGTGGCAAACTGAGGATTAGTAACATTCAGAGGGGACAAGCAGGGAACTACTCCCTGAAGGCCAGCAACTCCATAGGCAGTGCATACCACTACTTCCAGGTCAAGGTCAAATGTAAGTTATGATACACCTTGTACACCTTTTGTGTATTTATAGTGTGTGTTAATCTACTGTGCCTTTATATTATGAAATATGATTTAAAGAGAACAACTCCAACAGAATTTCAGACTAAGAGAGATAACTCATATTTGACACATTTTCTTTCAGTCCCAGCAGAGATCATAAGATTTCAGGAGACAGTTTATGCCAATGAGAGGGAATCAGCCTCTATTATTTGTGGTGTCAATGGGAACCCAACAGTGGACAACATGGCTGTGTGGTCTCGACCAGGATTTGACATGTCTAAAACCAAACAGGTGTACAGAAATGGCGAGAGCCAGATTATGATATATGATCTAGAAAGAAGTGATTCTGGGAAATTCATATGCACAGCTGATAACCAAGTAGCACAGCCCCAGACCAAAAAAGCCAACTTGGTGGTCAAGTGTAAGTATATATAGAGTAGTTGATACATGATAATGATGTAAGGAATATGCTTTATTTTAAAAGGCATTCTTGTAATCTGTTCAGAATTACAATTTAAAAAGGTCTTTAATATTTGATTAGTAGTGCATTTTCTCACCTTTCTGTAATTTCAATTTTCAGATTTTGCTGGTATTGACAAGTCTCGACAGTATGCAAAAGCAGGAGGAAAACATGGAGATACTGTGACCCTCGTCTGTAAGGCTGAGGGAACCCCAGAGATGCAGTTTACCTGGCTAAAGGTAACTAAGCATGAGTATTTAATGTGTCCATTTAAACAGATGAAGGTATAATAGTTCAGTATAATGAGATTGTTCTTGAAGTGGCATTCACAAATTATTATCCCTTGAATAGGAGGACACAGAGTTGCAGAGCAACAGTAAATATGCGATTAGTTCTACATCAGCAGCCAACATCTTTGACACAAAGTTTAAAAGCAGACTTACAGTAAGGAGTATAGCTAAGGCTGATTATGGAACCTACACATGCAAAGCTACGAATGACAGGGGCGAGGACCAGTTTAATATTAGACTCAATGGCACTAGTAAGTGTACAAAAAATACTTTTTTTATCATATTTTACAATTATTTGGTTTTTATATGCAAGTGTTTGCAAATTTTGTGAATAAATACGTCTATAGCTTACGTTCAAGGTAGCCTCTCTTTTCTTTTTTTTTTTTTTTTATTGTCTTCATGCTGTTCAATAATAAATTGTTTCTACTATAGGTAAACCTGATCCTCCCTATGATTTGACCTTTGTGAACTCAACCAAGGACAGTATTACTTTCTCTTGGAAGCCTGGTTTTAATGGAGGACTGGACCAGGAATTCCGTATCCAGTATCAGAGAAAAGGTTCAAAGTCAGTGACCACCAAAAGTATAGACGTGGATAAAAGTGTCGACAAAATTGTCATGACAATAAAAGGTAAGACAATTTAAATATTAAAGTCATCCAAGGAAATAAAAAGACTTTTATTGCTGTCTTTTTTTTTTGACAGTTGTGCATCCCTGCCTGCATCATCCATATTTAGCTCTTTCAAAACTACAGAACCTATTTTCTCCATTTTTGGTATACATTTGTGTTTCATAAATAGTTGAAGGAAATAAAAGTTCTGAAATTTTAAGGTCTGCACCCTCTGAGTCCGGAGGTATGGGGCAAAAATCTAAACTTCATTTTCTCTGGTTCAGAGGTTCATTGATAACATATTACTTTGATAAAAATCTTTTTGATGCTTAGATTTCAATTAGATGAGCTCTATATACATGATAATAAACATGCTTTTCTTCTGAAGGATTGGAGCTTGGACATGAGTATAAGATTGATGTGCTGGCTATTAATGAGTTAGGAGAGATGTGGGATGAACAACAGTTCTCTGCTAAAACAGCAGGTGAGTCATGTATAGGAGTCAATCACTTTAATTGTTTCTTATAATTACAACATTGTACACAGGATCTGATTGTGTATGTATGGGTTAGGTTTAAGGGGGGTGTATGTAAGCAGAGCAGACATTAGTGTTGTTAAGCGGTATGATGATTTTTTAAATTGTGAAGTATTTCTAAATGCTCATATACTTTTCTTTGATAGTGTCTAATGGTGCTAACCCTGGGGATTCCTCGGCCACACCTGCCACCAGACAGAGCGGGGATGACACCCCTGTCATGATCATCCTCGTTGTCTGTATCGTCGGAATCTGTCTCCTCGCTCTCAACATCGCTCTTATCTTCTTCTTTGTTAGGAGGAGGAGGAAGAGAATGGGTTGGTATATTTTCAGTCTTTTGATTAATGCAGAACTTAGATAGAAATTGTGAATATAGCATCTCTTATGCAAAATACTTCTCTCAAAGTTTCTTTTAAAGTGTGACTAATGTGTGCATTTATGCATCAAAGTTAACAAAATCTGTCACATTGTAAATCTACATAGGCCTGTGAGCAGGTGCATCATAAATAAGTCTTGATTGTTAGATGTAAAAAGGAATAACTTTACATGTATGACAAGGTGTATGTCTTGAAAAATGGTTATGTTAAAATAAAGTGGTTAGATCTGAACATAGGAGGAGTGATGAACTATGTACTTGGTTATAGGTCACAGTGGCACCAGTAACCACTCCAATGCCTTAGAACTGTATGCCCCAGGTAAAGAAAACACTTATCCAATGTACCCTAAGACACCCTCAGATGAGTACCATAGTTATGGAACCTACGAGAAAAACATGGATGACCTCTCTGATGACTTCAGGAATTATGAGGTAAGTGCCCCTTTGTGGTGACCCAAAACTTTGGAAGTTGTGAGCATTCCTGCGACAGGCTTGCTGCATGGTTTGATAGAAGTTCATTGCATGTTCATTTCATAGGTTCATGAGAAATAATGATTGTATGGTCAGAGCTGAGTAAACCATAGTTTTGTCTGTTCTCCTCCACCTTGGAGTGTGCAGATCGTGAATTCTTTACAGAGTTAAATATTTTAGATTAAGAATTTTTACATTGGTGAAGGAGAAAATGAACTTTGTGTAGTTGAATGTAGTTTATGAAATGCTTATAGATTAATTTAGATCAAAGCTCCAAGAGATAAATTTTATGAATAATTGTAATATAAATGTATTTGACTTGATAAATTTTATTTATAACCTTGAAAGAATTTCTTGATACATGTATTTGTTACTAGCATGAACTTATAAAATTTGCAATCATTAAGTGAACATAATTCCTGAAGCATCAATTAATGTTTTGCATTTTTGATTGAGCTTAGATTTTGTATACATTGATGATATTTCCTAATGTTGTTTGGAGTTTATTTCAGAATATTACACCGACATGTACCGTATTCTACCGCACATTTGCTAACTTAACCCTCTTATGCCCAGTTGGATGTGTCTTTAACATAGAAGCTCATTTCTGAAGCTATTATTCTTCAAGCATGCACATTTTACTAAATTTTCTATTAATAACTATAGTACAATATCATACAATATTTAAACTTTTTGTTTTTGCATCGATCAGCTTGTTTTTACCACTGTGCCACATTTACTCGCATGCATTTAAAATTAAAATAATTACTCAGCATTAATGATGTCCCTTGTATATTTGAAGCACCGAGGCACCCATTAGGTAGAATACGGTATGTAGTCAGTGTGGGGTCTGGCTGTTATTATCCTTGCATGCTTGTTTGAGTTCTGTTGCATTTGTTTGGTTCCGTTTTAGCCTAGTGACCAAAAAAGCACAAGTACCCATAGCTCCAATATACAATGTACCTGTTATACGGTGAAGTTGAGTTCCCGAGTTAATAGGGGGAGCTGCTGTCTGCCTCCAGAATCTTCGGGGTCATCAGGGGTAAGTGTGCCTCCTCCCCCCTCACAAAAAATCCTAGCTATCTCCCCCACCACCCTCTCTGCCTTTTTATTTCCTATAACTACTATATAATCTACTTGAAAATTAGGAAGAGATAAAGGTTGAAATTGTATTTCAGTTAGATCATGTAACTGATGTTATACTTTTTACATATGAAATTGTATTTTGAATTTGATTTCAACTGTTACATACATTTCCAGCATATAAATGAAACATTGTGCCAATATTTCATTTTCATCTGTCATGCTAGATTTGCTGTATGCTTTGCATGTCTTGGAGCAGCGTGTTAGTGCTCGGGGTTTTGATCAAGTTGTAGCATGAATTACTAAAATTCTGTGTGTGGTAGAATCTGGTCTGAAATAAAAATGGTTATTGAAAAAAATATGTTTACATTAACATTTGAACTTATTTCAAAAACACATGTATTTTCTTTTTTCTAATGATTTAAAGGCATCTTCTTTACTTGAGGTTTGTGTTTAATATTTTGGTCATCTGTTTTCTTGCAAAAATAATTTTGCACACGTTTGCATTAAAATGCTACAATAACTCAATTTTGGTGCACTTTTTAATGTACATAAAAATATGCTTTTTTCTGTTTTTTAAGGTGCATTGTTTTTCTTTATATTCAATTATATCTCAAAATCTGCACTTCATAACAAAATGCAGCTTATGTTATGTATACATGTAACAATTCTCCCAAAAGCTTGGTATTCAGAAATATATGTTATCCAAGACATGTTTTTGTTTGTACAGGATGAAGATGTAAAGCGAGTGTTCTTACCTCCCCCTGCCTACAGTAATCGTCCATACTCACCAAACAAACTCGACTCACCTCCTCTCAGCACTCATAAAGCCTACTTGTCAGACTCACGCTCATATATAGACGACGACAGGGAGGGAAGCTGGCAGTACGAAGGTAGGATGGGGGGCTTCTTTGATTTAATGACCCTTAATCATAAAATTTTTCCAAAATTCTCATCGAAATATTTTCAATACTGGAATCATTTTGTTTTGTAGATCCATATAAAATGAAAGGAAGAAAGGGAACATTTGATCCTCAGTATGATATGGGTTCACAGACTGTCATTGATGATGACAGGTATTATGATGAAACGAGACCAAAGGTAAAAAATATATAGATTCCATACTAGCATACAGAACTCTAGATTAATAAGAAATAATCTCATGAATTATTAGAGATTGGAAATTATATGTTTCATCTTCATGAATATGCAAAGAAGAATTTGTATTTGTTGTATATGTATTATAGCAGAGCATCACAGACTTGTCTGAACGCTCCAGTCGCCCTCCTAGTCGTAGTGTCAATTACAGGACCACACCCCCTCCACCCCCAGTTCGCTCATCCAGTAAGGGGGCAGCCATTAATTATGTTAATCACACAGCACCACCACTGCCAGACAGAAATTACGACGCTGATGAAATTCAGCAGAATTATAATCCACGTTACACACCTTCTCCAGGTATGAATAAATTTCCACGTTGTTGGTTTACTTTATCTCAGTTTTATGTATCTTTATGCTCTGATTTTAAAAATAGTAGTAGTATATCTTTATTGTTAAAGAATTTTATCAGATTATACAGATGAATTTTTTTCATTATTCTACATGCATGACACTCAAAAATGTTTGATTTTTTGTTAATGATTTCGTTTTATCTAGGTTCCATTGCATCATTTTCAAATAACCCAAATGTGATTACAAATCCAAATTATGATGGACCTTCGATGCGTGCATCACGGACAAATATAGTGCCTGATGACATGCGAGGACATCTCGTGTGATAATAAAACTTGATCCAGAATTCCAGTATTATGTGATAGTATGATAGACTGATTATAATGCAGCTATGTGCTAGTGTTCATACAAAGAAAAGATGATGACAGTAAACATGAAGAAGAAGCAACCCAGGTATGATCAACTGAGAACTTACAAGAAGGGCCAAGGCCCTGTAATTGATGAAGTCTCGGAATCTGCCTTGAGAAGAAATTTTTTTCTTTGTTTTTTTTTTAAATAAAATGTTTTTATTTGTGCAATAAGGAGAGAGATAATGCGTCCATTTTCTACTGATGGAGAAGAACATTCCTGACTTGTGTATCAGCTGTTTTTGTCAGCTGTTTTCTGTGAGATTTCATGCTACATGTTATTTGGGAGGAAATTGTGCATTAATATTTTTGATCTGCTTATGAGATATATATGTGTGAGTAAAAGTCATTTTGTGTACCTGTTATGTATGCATATACATTTTATTTCATGTGACTGAGAAATAAGATTTCTTCATGTGCATAAAGATTCGTATTTGTTTGTTATCATGTAAAAGTCATACTTATTTTTAATGGTTGTGAGATAACTGCCAAAAGTGTGTAGAACAGTGATTTATTTGAATGCATAAAAGATGTATTGTTTGTGCCAGTTTTCAGGATACATGAAATGAGATGTTTGTCTTGCCAAAGAAATATTATTTTTCATATTACTGTTTTATTATGTTTGAAAGGAGTAAGAAATGTTTGGGATTTTAAAACGTAGATTTTAAAAAAATGATAAAGTTGGTACATGTACTATTAAGAAGTTCAAGACCACACAACGAAAAATTTATTGTCACAGAAATTGTTTAGAAGATTGTTGATTTTAATGGCGAGAAAATACTCAGTTTATCTGTTTATGAGTTCATAGTGCTGACTGTATTTTAGTTAAAGTTCATTCTTTTAATTTGTTTTCTTTTCTGCCTTTGTTAAGAACTTTTATACCCACCTTGAATAAAGTTAGATTTAATGCATATTTAAGAATCACCTATTTCGTCCATCTGTCTGTCTGTATGAGTTTCTCTGAAACAGAAAAACATTTACAGTATCCTATCCTAAAAGTATCCTTTGTGAACAGTTGAAGATGGCATGAGAAATTGTCATGAATCTCAGGTGTTTGTTTTGATAAATGCCACAGAAGTGTTATGAAGCTGACCATAGAGAATTTAGAAGGGTTCCTCAAGATCACATGTTGAAAATATATGAAAATAGTTATCCTAGTCGTAGTTGATCACACAGAAACCTGATTATTTTTTATGGCATTTGGATAAAGTTTAATTTTGGGGAGGGGTAGGAAAATTAGCTTTAGACATGCAAGAAAAGTACTGTAAATCACTTTTTATTTGCGAAAACTTAATTTTCTCGTAATTATGTGAGACAGTGTGCTCACGAAAATTTCATTCTTGCATATACATGTAATAGTATACCTTAAGATTATATAGAGCAGTAACCACATTTCATGAAAATTTTGTCTCGCTATAAAGAGTCAATGACCATCTTACGAAAATAAGGTGTTGCGAAAATTTAGTGATCTACAGTAGACGAAATTCTTTGGTGTGTAACTATTGGATGACATTTAGATTCAGAAGAAAAAAGTTTTTACACCCTTTTAAATTTCCCACAGCATTATTAAATTAATTGCATTGCAGCAGTGCTATAAGCCCATTCATGTAATTATTTCCTAGGATTAGTTATTGCTCTTGTCTTCAGTCAGTATAATGAAAAAAGGTTCAGAACAACCAGTATTTCCTGTGTATCTAATGGTAGCATTGGTCCAACAAGGAACATTTATCAATGATGATGATAAATTTTCATAAAAACATATATGTCGCACAATCAAAAATATGCATAGATTTATGAGATTTGAATGGACAGTGAATAAAAGATAAAATATGTATGCTGTATTTTTTTTTTATTAGTATCTATGTCATATACAGTTGAACTTCATTAACTCAAATTTCAAAATCTTGAACACCATTATTCATGTAAATATGTCAAGTGAGTTAAAAGTGCAAACAACTTTTTTGTATGTATTTTAATCTCAATATCTGGATTGATTGGATATTTTGGAAGTTTTTTCTTGGTCCCATCGGTTTCGAGATAGTGCGGTTTGAGTGTAAATGATCTCCCCTTTTTGTACTTGGTTTTGTAGAGTTGAATTTTCAGTCATTAAGCCATAGTGAGGAAAGGGGAATAAAAATGGACCCCCCCCCCACACACACACACACACACGCAATCACATGAAATAGGTTTTTCACGTTTGGGGAAGGAGTAAACTTTTTTTGCCAAAAAATTTCTGGGCTAGTTATTATTTTTTTTTTGGGGGGGGGGGGGGGGAGGGGGGATTGGACCCGTTGGAAAAAAATCCTGGATCCGCGCCTAAAATGTTGACCTCCAACTGCAACCTTTTTTCGTGAGTTCGATCTGGAGGTTCTATGTACATATGCCTACTAATATATTTATCAGTTTCAGAATTTGAATTTCTTTTATTATGATAATGAGATCGGACTGAAATCAGGAAACCAATATCGTCCCAAACATACACGTAAGTTAATTGTTGTTCTGTACAATTTACATCTTATTTCATGGTCATCTTTGACAAAAGTTAATGAAATCTACACGATCGCTTTACCCCTTTTTGAAGTTTATTACTGTATACCGATGCCTAGGAAAGTTTTGCATTGGTTTATTTTTTCCCCAAAATATTTGGTAGATATTTTTTCTGAATCGACTATACAGCTGTATTTACAAAGTTACGACAATAGAATAGCAAAATTGAACAACAAAAATTACCAGATTTATACTACATGTATTTACCTGTATGTATTTGATAACCTATATTCGAATCAATTAATTGCAAAATAAATCTCCAAATCATTAAGAATTCATATCAATGCAGATCTTTGATTCACCTACGCATCGCTAGGACAATCTAGTAGCAATTTGTTAGAACTTGGTTTTAAATTCTACTTCTGGAAATCCAACTCATACACTCAGCTCACTTTCTAAGAAAAAAATTCTTCAAAATCACGTTTTGGTCTTTAATGCTTTTACATTCCAGTCAACGAAGGTGAATTCGATTTACCCTACCTATACTTGTTAAAGGTCATTACAAGGAAAGATGCATGCAGCTTCCAACTAATGCTCTACCAAGCCCCTATTTTGACTCCTCACAGTAAACGTACTGTATTCTAAATGTACAACATATTCAAGAAGTGTTAATCAAATGTGAATTTTCAAAAGCGCCTACAAACTATTAGAAAATTTAAAATCACAATTTTTTTTCCAAAGTCAGTAACATCAAAACGTACGTCTTTTCTACACTTTATACAACAATTCCTGACATTAAGGATAAGGCTCTTTGATATTAATCAAGAATATTTGAACTATCTCTTGATTGGTCATTACAAAATTACTTTCAAGTTGAAAATCATTTTAAAATCTACAAATATATACTCTGATGTTGACATTAAAAAGATGCTGAGGTTCCTATTAAGCAATGTATGCGTAGTCTTTGGAAACCTATCTTCCAACAAACTGTTGGACTTCCGAAGGAAACAGAATTTATTAAAAAAAAACTTTTAAACGGGAACAAGAATTTCTTACTGTGACCTTCAATTCCACATTATCAATCAACAATAGTTACAAGTAATTTCGTTCAATTGTCTACTCGATGCATGTATATCCAAGTGATCTCGAAATAAAAGACACAACAGAGTCTGCCACACCTGTTTCATATTTGTTTTAGACGATAATGGCCACCTAACAAATAAACTGTATGACAAACGAGAGGACTTAGTTTTTCCACGATATGTAAATATAACGAACGGTAATTGTGCTGAAAAGTTCAACAGAACAATACAAATTGTGAACAGAACAAACACCGACTTCTGAAAAGATCAGAGGTAGGATCAGGTGCCATGGAGGAGTAAGCATCCCCTGTTAAACGGCCACAGCAGCCCATCAACATTCGACTAAAGACCGATTGTATTTGTAAACAAGGTCATTGAATCGACCATAGAATTTGTGAAATGTTGACTTTAATGAGCTTATAGGTGTCTTTGTATCATCAATTTATTTGTCAGTAACCTGCCTTGTTTTTAAAAATTTGATCAAAGAACATGTTCTTGCGTATCGAATTAATTGGGAGAACAAAAAACCCATATAATTATGCAGGTGATAACGGAATATTGCTATGTAAATAAGGAAAGTAAATGATAGAAAGTTGTCACATTTTTCATTGATTTTTATGGTTAGTTTGCCATCAATGTCTTTCTCTAGAAAATATCCAAATATGATGCAGATGTGCAAGACTCCGTGATATCTCTTTTATTTCGAGTTCATTTGGATACATCAAATCAATGTATAATTGAAAATCAGTATTCTTAATTGATAAAACGTCCGATATATCTAGATGTCGAATTGAAAACCACACCACGAGACTTATTTTAAATGAATAAATCATATACAATTATGGACTCTTTCGGTGGTGAATATGGTTTGTTATTCACCAGAAAAATATCAATATTGACCGAGGCGAAGCCGAGGTCAATATTGATATTTTTCTGGTGAATAACAAACCATATTCACCACCGAAAGAGTCCATAATTGTTTTATCATATAGTCAGGATTTGAATAAATAAGACGTTGAAGGCTGCATGACTATACCGTTTTCATTAACGAACCTCTGTCGTTGAAAAATCAAAAAAATTGTCCAGAATACAACTTATAACTTCCGTATTTTCCTTTCGCTGTGTGTAAAACATCAAAATGTTTGGAAAATAATCCTGCGATAGACTTGCCTAACATTTTTTTTCTGTTCAGATACATGGCTGGCTCCGGCCGTTGCAACCATTGTTTTCAACATTATTTAAGGTATTGATTGTGACGTCACAATGCCGCTACACGCGCACTGACCCTCCGGTGAATACGACCTCAAATCCAGTGAATATGTAGTATTATGAACCGTTTGCGTTTGTATAGATTATATAGGGACTATTTATAGACTATATGATAATAGTGAATGTCAATTCATTATTATGCGCCCGGATCGATAGATCAGGGGCGCATATTGTTTTTGTCCTGTCTGTCTGTTTGTCTGTCTGTTGTCAACTTTAACCTTCGCCATAACTTTTGAACCATAGGAGATAGAGACTTCATATTTGGTATGCATACTCCACTAATTAAGTTCTTTCAAATGACACCAAGGTCAATGACCTTGTGACCTTGACTGTGACCTATACGCTAAAAATAGCTTTTTCGAACTTTGTTGCCGCCGGGTGCATAGTGTTTCACAAACACATCTTGTTTTCTATTTGTTTATATGCTGTTGAATTTTGACCCGGTTTAATTATCAAAATTCAACGATGCGGCTCAATTTTCAACGGGCTAGGGTCTGAATTCAACACCGTTGCTTTCTTCTCGTTACAAAGAAACCCGAATAGGCTAGCTCATTTCTGAGAAGGTAAAAATAAATCTTTAATTCTTATTATTTAACCAGCACGTTTTAAGTAGCTATCTACTTATAACGAGTTAGTTATCCGGATTTCGCTTTTATTTCTACTGCACTCCAGCAAAAGACAAAAAAATCAGTTGACCTCCCAGCTAACCAGACTCCTTGTACTATTGTCAGTCTTTCAAAATTCTTCATAAATATTCTCAAAAATGCACACACGACGAAAACAATTTCAAAGGATTTGAAAAATTGCTGCTAATTCGAAATGATTAGATCTTAAAACTGTTCTATACAATCATTTTTGTTTAATCATTTTAATTTCTTTGGCAATACGTATTTTTGTTTTCTTGGACATGTGTCAAAGTCATAAGCTTGTAATCTGTTTTTCTCTTTAAGTAGAGACTCCCAATATAAATCTGAACTTGCCACGAATAAACAGAATCACATTGAAAACTTATTGATAAGTATCAAAATTTAATGCAAACACATGCATTTTCATACTACATTATAACAATTTACTTTGAAATATCGTAATCATAATAAATTCATATGTTTAAAAATTTTCTATAACATATAATTATAAATTATATACATATACTGTAAATATGACTGTTAATAAACACGGTTCATTCACCAGTTTTACAAATTCTGTTATAAAGGCACAATTGTCATTCATTTTGGTTTCTTGTCCGTAGAATTCATGTTTTTCAGTATGTCCATCAACACTTGATCTCTGTCCTGTGCTCGGAGTTTATTAAGTAACAACTGATGTAGATTCCCGAGGTGTTCCACATCTTTCTTGAAGTTTTCGGTCATTATGGCGAGGTCGTTCAAGTACTGATTGGATTTGTAAATTTTCTGTATCATAACAACTAATAAAACGTTAATGATGAACAAACAGATATGACATCTTCGTGAACCTCGTTTTAATCTCTTCTCTCGAACTATCGTCTGCCCTAAAACCGAATACACAAAGTATGGACTTTTTTCCTCCATTTTGCCTCCCGTCTACACTTTATGTTTACATGTATATCCTGAAAAGGTTAAGGAAAAAATGAATAAAACGCATGAACCAGAGCTAAAATTTATTGTTGTTGCTCTCTTTTGATCGATTTTTGGTCGTCATATTTTTTCGTGCCAGAGGGGGAGAGGTCGATTATAACAGTAGAACTTGTACAGCTAAGTGAACTTGACTGATTGCAAATAATGAGAATATTTGTCAAATATTGTCAAGCACGGTCGAACATTTTTTTTATTCATTATTTTCAATTTTTTGCTCATATTTATAAAATATTATATATATATATATATATATAATTCAGGCTTGGGGCGAATTACATTGTATTACATTACCATTACTTCAACAATTTGGGCATTAAATTACCATTACCATTACTCTAATTTCTTAAAGTAATGCATTACATTACCATTACTTTAGTA